TTTCAAACGAGAATATTTAATGATGAAACAGAAACAACTAACGAATCCGTTGTAGTGGTGTACTTATTGAAAACGGTGCGCAATTCAGTTCTCATGACGCAGAACGATAAAAAATGTTGGTGTAATCGGTAGTTTCAACGGTTCCGGTAAACGTAAACTCCATTGTCCAGAATACATTCGCTGGCACGCTGCTACTCTTGAACGATTCCAAATGGATTCTGGCGATATAGCGAATATCCTTCCCGTGACGCTGCAAACTTTGGTAAATTAAAGTTCGTTCATCGCTGGGTAATAATTTTTTCAGTTCTCTACGTGACGCATTATATAGACAAACCAGGTACTTTTATTAAACTCACCGAAATTGAAGGATTAACGCGAAAGTATTCAGATGTTTGCTGCGATTAATTCAGGAACCAGATGAAAGCTTCTTTCAAATCGAGGAAACCACATAAAATCATATTCGACATATAATTATATATATTGTTGCTTGAACATTCAAAACGTATTTCAAAGACCCGAAATATAATGAGTTAACGTGAAAATAATATCTGTGGATGCTAAATAAGTTTTTAAAGTCTCAGCCTTTTATTTAATAAATTATATAATATTCAATATTTTCTATAGTTATATTACACTATTATATTATATAAGCATATTACTTTTCTTTAATTAGCAATTACAAAAGAAAACAATTGTATCTCAACCCTTTGACCTAGAATATCGTGTCAGACTCACGACGATAATTTTAAACTGATTTTGACAAATCTGTTATTTAGTTTTTTTAAATATAAATTAGATATTACCTTTCTATTATCGTAAATGTAGACATAGAATAAACATAAAAAATATTATCTCTTCCTAATAAATTATTAACGATAAACTAGTTGTATCGATCATAATAAAGAAATAAATTATAGGATAAGGAGTTAACTTGGTCCGAACTCTGTATCACTGTCTCGTCGACTCCATCAATCACAATTAAACCAAAAAATCATCTTTTACACTGATTTATCGTCACAATAATGACCACTGATTTAGTCTTTTTCTACTGATGTGTCAGTTATTCGAAGAAAAAGCGGTTCAGATGAAAAGGCAGTTTTGTTTTCTACCGAAGCTCGTAGAGGAGTTGGTTTTTATTGGTGTAGGTTAACGACCGGTAGGACTCGAACGTATTAATAGAGGCGTCTGCTGGGTAAATGATCGTCGGTGATATCCAGTGGCGTTTCTACGTTTCAGATAGGGGTAACAACACTTAATGAAGTTGCCGCAAATCCCACGAGATTTGGCTGTTAGCCATGGCCCGCAGTAACTTCCATAAGCTAACACTCTTCATCTTAACCCTACCATGGCAGCTATCACATTATCGCCACGTCCTCACCACTTAGATTTTCATAGTTTTTCTTCGAACTGTCCTGTTCACTGCCCCATACACATTGCACAGATTTAAGTTAGTGATAGGTCCAAATATCAAATACCCCGAAAAGTTTTTGCCCATTTCCGTTAAGCGCAATTTTCGGTACATTGAACATTGTATAATTGCACCATCGGGGACCTTTTCATAACTACAACGTCGTCATGTCTACCACATCTCCACTAGGTTCCTTTTCACACTTATCGATTATTTTTTCTTATCGGTCAACATTCAGTTTGAATGAATGAAAACGTCCTTCAAAGTTGAGCGTTGAAAGTATATTTTTCACAATATCTCTGAAACTAGGGGACGTAGAAAATAAATTATTTTTCCAAATGGATCGCCTCGCAATGAACAATTTAGATTTCCTTCCAACACCGACTAGTTTTAGAAATGTTGTGAAGAATATAAAATAAGAAAAAATACGTATCAAATGTTTTCTTCAGAACTACGCCTCACATAAGTTTTATCAAAATCGGCGTGTGCTAGTGGAAAAGGTTCCCCTGTAAGTATTAGCTAAATACACGCATAAAATCCGCAAACCATAAAATTGTTAATTAACTCGATAGAGCAAGTTGTAAATGTAACATAGAAAAAGAAAAAAGACCTTAACGTTCATGGTCAATCAACAAAATAGTTTTACAGTTATGTAAAAATTTACGTTAAATTAGTTGCTGCTGTTCTTTTCCCGTTAAGTGGTGACAAATAATCTACTTCTAGCGACACTAAGCCGAAATGCACCTTTCAAAAAAATTCAGATTCTGGTATTTCGCATTTCAGTACAATTAGCTTCGGAAATTTT